GGGGGGGGGGGTTGCTGTGAGGCCGCAGGTGAGATGGAAAAGTCTTTAGCACAGTGGATAACAGCTGGTAAATGCTTGATACTGACAGCTGTATTTAAGAATTTGCTTGTCTTTCCCTCAACACCTTCATTGTTTATGCTCGTCTCCCTACCCAGCTGTTTTCCATCTTGCCTCATCTTGAATGTTAGGATTTTATAGAAATGCTCACAATGAAACAAAACAAGACATTTTTAAAGCATCTGCAAGTGTCCTCCAGAAAGGTGGGGCTTATGCCCAACAAGCAATGATTTTCTTACCAAATTTTCTTTTCTTTGAAGGTGATTGTTGTTTTGTACTTCCGTCTGTGGATCATGGGAGGATCTATGCCCCTTTTTTCAGAGCAGGATAATCCAGCTTCATTTTCGCCTTATATTCTTACGAGGTCAGTAAATGTAATTTTTCTTTTTTAGCCTAACGTGGTATTTATTAGATTGTTTTAAAATTCTTAAATGATAGTTTGCCTTTGCATTTTAAGGAAAGGAGGGTTGTATTCTGTCCAGGGTGTGGGGAAAAAAGAAACTACTATTCATACATTTGGAATTCTTCTCAACTGGTGGTGCTGTTTTGCCAGGCTTATTGCTATTCTCATATTGGCATTTGCTTACCCAACAGGTATTTTACTGAGCACTTATTATCAATAATAAATACCTACTGAGTGGCAAGTGTTATAGAACAATGCACGGAGAAGTGTATAGAGGTTGACTAAGCATTAACACTATTTGTAAAATCAGTGAAGATGTTGAAAGTGGAAAACAGAAATGAACAATAATTTTTGCTAAGATACAGCTCATTATATCATACTATTTGTCCTTAGAGATTTAGAGATATTGGATCAAGTAGTGATGTCGATCAATGGATCTGGTTCATTGAGATGGTTTTTAGTTCCTTATCTGTTCCATCTGCTGTGATGTCCTGCTCAGGCTTTCAGATATAGTTATATTTGACCATTTTAATAACTTTTCTTCAGGCTATATTGTTGCAGGGCGCCTGGGTGGCTCAGTTGGTTAAGTGTCTACCTTTGGCTCAGGTCATGATCTCGGTGTCCTGGGATTGAGCCCTGCTTCGGGCTCCCTGCTCAGTGGGGAGTCTGCTTCTCCCTCTCCCTCTGCCTCCTACCCTCCCCCCCCCCCCCCCCGCTCATGCTCTGTCTCTGTCTCTCTCTCAAATAAATAAATACAACCTTTTTTTTAAAAAAGGATGTATTGTTCCTATTATGTTTAAATATTCAGATGCACTGTTCTTAAGTTTTTATAGTTTTACATATACTTTTTAGCATTTAATATCATTTTCATAGTAGTGTCCTTCACTTTTTTATGTTTGCAGACATAATAAATCTTAAATTAAACCTTGTTCTACTGCCCATTTTTATTTTGGCTTACTTGTATCTCTTAAGGACAACACATTGTTGGATTTTTTGTTTCTATGCCAGGCAGTGATCTTTGCTTTATTTGACTCATTTATTTTATGTTTTAACTGCTACATTTCTATTTTCTTTGCCTTGTATGTTTTTCTTTATTGTTCCTAGTCTTTTCTTCCTTTTTTTTTTTTTTAAAGATTTTATTTATTTATTTGAGAGAGAGAATGAGAGAGAGAGTACATGAGAGGGAGGAGAGTCAGAGGGAGAAGCAGACCCCCAGCTGAGCGGGGAGCCCGATGTGGGACTCGATCCCGGGACTCCAGGATCATGACCTGAGCCGAAGGCAGTCGCTTAACCAACTGAGCCACCCAGGCGCCCTCTTCCTTTTTTTTTTAAAGGCAATTTCCCTTTCAAAAAAGATAACTTCAAATTTGATTAACCCATTTCTACAAAAATATCATGGCACAATTGTTTGCATTACTTCTGACATATATTTCTATTAAAGAATCTTGACTGTGCCTTCAGAAATCATATGATATCCAGCCTCTAGTGTTGACTTATCTTTTCGAGGTACGCTAGACACTTATAAATTGTTTGTATCTTATATTTTTCAAAATGTTGTTGGATTAATCATGACATCTCTAACCCAGCTTTTTGTTAATGTTGCAACCTACTTGTCCTTTTTGGGTAGCTCTCAGTGGCTTTCGAAATTTCCAGGATCCTTGTCTGGATATTTTTAGCTCATTGATAAATTGTTTCAGGTTCTGTAGCTCCTTAAATAGCTACATTCACCTCCAGAACAGACTGTTCTGAACTCACCAACTAGTGATTTCATTCATATCTCTGTCATCAGTAAACAAGTGCCTTCCCCGTGGTCCTAACTGCCCTCCTATCTGCCAGGGGTGTTCAGTTGCATTTTTATCTCTACTGGTGGCACAAAAAATTCTTTGGTGTAACCTCTGGCAAAATTAGTATCTTGGACCAGTCATTCGCCAGGTTCTGCCTTTCACTTCCAAGGCATATATATATCCTTTTTCAGAGGGGTCTGAAACACATTTCATCTAGGACTTTCTGTCTGTGAATCCATCTAAGTGACTATTCTCAGGTAATTTAATCAGTATAAAGTGATAGAACACAACATCCTAACACCTTTATAGTCTTCCCTTTTTTCTTTTAAAAAAACATAGCTTTCTTCCTGGGGCTCCTGGGTGGCACAGTCAGTTAACCGCCCAACTCTTGTTTCTGGCTCAGGTCGTGACCTCAAGGTCCTGAGATTGAGCCTCGAGGTGGGCTCCCTGCTCCTCCCTGCTCCTCCCCCCATCCCCCAAAACCATATCTTTCTATTTCTGTGTTTCGTGCTTAAAATATGTAGATACCCAGGGACATTTCAATGACAGTTGCTGTAAATGGCTTTTCACATTCCTGTAAGATAGCTGCATTATAATTGACTCTTTGAGCATCCAGAAAATTGTCTTAAATTCCTTTCTGAAGTAAGGTTTCTACTCTGCTTGCATAATTATTTGACCTCTGGTAGACTGATGATTCTCAAATTGGATTACCTTGGTCTATCTCCTAGTTGTGTTGGTTTTCTTTCCTTCTCATCAGCAATGCAATTTAGCTATGATTTGGCTGGCTCCGGGAGCCCGTCACTACTAATCACAGGTTTGTCATCCAGCTGTGTCAGTCTGCCTCACTGATGCTCCACCTCTTTTATTGGGTTTATAAACTCCGAACAACTTTTATAGCATCTTTGCTTCTATCTTGCAAGTATTACATCTTCTTTTAAAGTCGATATAATAACTTACTCTATTATCAGATGAGAATTTTCAGACTGGCTTTCTCTTTCTTTAATAATTGCTGTAGTTATTACTATATTGCAATAGTTATTATAGTTATTAATATAAAATATTGCTATAGTTATTACAGTTATTAACATGTAGTAAAAAAAAAATCCTAACAGTTTTAAGAGCAAAGGTTTTCCTTTGTTTCATTCAGATGATTCCTTGTGGGTTTAGTTCTGAGATTCCTTCACTGGTAGATTATCTGTTTCCATGTGGTTAGCTAGGAAGAAATACCCTGTCATTTTCTATTTACCAACACTGGGATGCAAAATCATTGTGGTTTGCTTATGAGAATCCTTCATTAAGAAAAATTATCAAAGACATGGGAATAAGACAACAGATGACTGTGTGACATTTAGTCTAATGTAGGGCATTGTCTAACAAACCTAGAAGAATACAACTTTGACTTATTTACATCTGCACTACTGTATTTTACAACTGTGTCAACTTAGAACTTAACATATAGAATAGGATAGGTGTGAACATTTCTTATTCTCTGTAGTAGGAAATAAGCCTTCAAATGTTAGTTTTATTGCCTTGTAGGCAATAAATTGAACAAATTTGTGTTTAATTTACCAATCTCATTCCTTTTTATTATTTCATGAACTATATAACCCTAGTTTTTCATATTTAATTTGAGTATATTGATATATGTATACATTTATATATATGTATTTATTCTATTTATATATATCTAAGTAACAGTTTAATAGACCTACCGTACCATTCACCTACTTAAAGTATACAATCCAGTAGTTTTCTCTATACTTAAAGAATTGTGCAACCATCATCACAATCAATTTTAGAACATTTTCATCTCCCCAAAAAGAAATCTTATATCCATTAGCATTTACTCCCCATTTTACCTCAGTACCCCCACTCCTAGATAACCATTGATCTACTTTTTGCCTCTATTGAGTTACCGATTCTGGACATGTCAGATCAATGGACTCAAATAATATGTGGTCTTTTATGACTGGCTCCTTTCACTTAGCATAATGTGCTCAAGATTCATCCATGTTATAGCCTGTATTCATACTCCATTCTTTTTTCATCCCCCAGTAATATGCCATTGTATGGGTGTACCACTTTTTACTTTTCCTTTCCTCTGTTCATGGCTGTTCCAAATAACACTGCTATGAACATTCATGGATAAGTTTTTGTTTAAATGTATGTTTTCATTTCTGTTGCACATGTACATCGGAGTGCATTTGCCAGGTCATAGATGTTAACTTTGTATTTAACTTTGTGAGGAACTGCTAGACTATTTACCAAGGTAGCTGCTCCATTTTACATTTACATTCACAGCAGTATTTGAGGGTCCAGTTTCTCCGCATCCTCACCAACACTTGTCTTTTTTGACAATCTTTCTGTTGTTTTAATTACAGCCATACAAGTGGGTATAAAATGGTATCTCAGTATGGTTTTGATTTGCATTTCCCTAATGGCTAATGATGGTTAACATCTTTTCATCTGCATATTGGCTACTTCTTTATCTTCTTCAGAGAAATGTCTATTCAGATTCCTTGACCAGTTTTTAATTATTTTTATTATTGAGGGGTTTTATTATTTTATTATTGAGTTGTAATAGTTCTCTGTATATTCTAGCTACAAGTTGTTTATCAGATAACATGATTTATAAACATTTCCAACCTTTCTGTGGGTTGTTGTTTCCCATTCTTGATGGTGTCCTTTTGAGCACAAGTGTTTTTAAATTTGATGAAATCCAACTTATCTATTTTGTTGTTGTTGCTTGAGCTTATATCTAAGAAGGCTTTGCCTAACTCAAATTTTCTTTTAAACTGGCTTTTTCAAGTGTCTGGTTGCCTTATTAAACAGTTATATAAACCTTTATTTTCACTGTGTATTTGTATGAGGATTAAATTTTTAGTATTTTTAAAATTGTACTTTGTTACAGTTTATGTTAACAGTAATTTGGAAGCCATTTAGAATTTGATTTCTTATACTTGATCACTGGGCACTGGGCACTTGATCAAATCACAAGGCAGATCAATGAAGTATTGGAGAATCATCATTATCAGAATATACTGGCAATAAGTTCCTTATTGTATTAGCTGCCAGGAATTTGATGTGACTGATCAATAAATTTTCCAACCCATAATTAATTGAGATTGTGTGGATCAGTTGAATGGTATGACATTGAATTATAAACATTTCTATTTT